AAGAAGGTGCGCACAGCCCCTCGTGAGCCCAAGCACAAGCGCTCAAAGAACTCACAGGATGACAGGTGAGCCCTCAGTTTACATTTTTATTATTTCTTTAAAAAAAAACATCACATTTCCAGTTTAGGCAACACTTGGTTATAAAGAGGAGCAGGTTTGGATCTCTGGGGATCCAACAGCAGTTTCTTTGTTATCAGGTGAATCCCACCAAAGGCAGGGAGGCTCAGTCAGGACGTCGTAGGGAACCAGGCTGTCGGCCTGAGAAGGGGGCAGCCCTTAATAGGGTAGAGAGTAGAAGAAATGGGTGCTTGATCAAGTGCATGGGACGAGAAGAGACAGCCAGGTGCGCTATAACAGTGTGTCATGTGGAGCAGAGCTGCTGGAGGGAGGAGTGTGAAGAAAAGGAAGCTCGGCTGGAAGCGACCGGGGAAGGCGGACGCGCTAAGTTGAATTAATCATTAGTGGGATGTGCTATTTTCCATTAAATCTCAATTCGTATGTAGTGTGAATGCTGCTGTTTGGACAATTAATGATTTGATTTTGTGAAGGCCACAAAAAAAATAAAATAAAAATCAATCCGTTGTGATTTGTGTTCCCACTTGTCAGGATTGTTGGAAATGACGAGTGTAACAGGCGTTCCTGTAGTCAGCAGGATTGTGCAAAATGGCTCAAGTGCCCTTTTTTATTTATTTTTTTCCTCCAACTGTAACCAGTAGCTGTGTGATAATCTTGTGGTTTAATCAGCTTGTTGTTGGTGTGTTGCACCTATCACACTGAAATTAGCCTCAGAGCTCACGAGAACAAGACGGGATAGAGTACAATACAATGAGCCTTTATCAATCCTGCAGTGTGGAAATGTGCTTTGTTACAGCAGCACGAGTTACGATGGTCCAAGTTCCTCTAGATGTAGAGATGTTAATATTGCACGTATCAATGGTATTGCAGAGAATCTTTCATGACTAGAAACACTGATAAGGAAGTATTTCTGTTGCTAGTGGTACTGATGTAAAAGGTGGAAACAAAAAAAAGTGTTGTTTAGATTTTTTTAGATCGGCAGGCAAATTAAAAATGTTTAAATAATGAGACTAGCTGCTGGTCTTGTTGGTATTTATTTGGAGTTCATATAGAAACTGTGTCCTGCTGAGGAACACCAGATTATCGTTCCACCACTTACTAAAGACTGTGTTTTTGTTTTTTGTTTTTTTCCCCCCTAATCTGGACTCAGTGAGGACTCTGATGACAAGCTCTCCAAATCCAAAAATGATTCAGCAGGTAAGTCGGCCCGATTCAGACACTCGGCGAGAACAGCTTGAGTTTGATTAGTGTGCAGTGGATGCCAGGGGAGAGCTTGGCTCACTGAGTTCCCTCTGTGTCGCTGCTGCAGATGACTTTGGCAGCGACGACGAAGACAATGACTTTGGAGAGGAGGAGGATGAAGACGGAGGAAGCGACTACGAAGAAAAAAGAGGGAAAAAGGGAAAGAAAGCCAAGGTGGAGAAACCCACCAAGAGGGGGCCGAAGAGAAAACGGGGTGCAGGTAACTCCTGTTTATCTGGGTTTTTTTATTTTATTCTGCTTTTAACCCACTTTTTCTCTGCCTCGCTAACACTTACCGTGGCTCATCTTTTCCTGGGAACAGCTCATACAATGGCTACAAGTAGACAGAACGCAAACATGTCTTTTGTGCAGGGTTATGAAATTAAAAAGAAAACGGTAACGTCTCTTTCAAAGCTGGAAAGAGGGTTAATGTCCGTCTACTTTGTGGGATTTTAGGGTGTCTCGTGTGTGCATGCAGATGTTTATCAGACTCTGTTAAATTTAAAAAGAACACATGATTTGAAGTTTGCACATTTAAATTGTGTAAATTTGAACTCCGTGCCTGTTTGAGATGGTTTTAGATGTGAAGCACAGCGATAAATAGATCTTGTTAAATTAATCATTAATTCTCATTCAGTTGAGGAAGAAAAGTCAGAAAAGCAGATTATTTTATTTCATGTTTAATTAATAAATACAACAACAAAACTGCTTGGTCTTCGTACTTGCGTTGCTTTTGATAAGCTCGCAGGAAAAACACAGATGTGATGTTGTGACCTCAGTTAATGCAAAGAGTCTGAACTGTCTGTGTTTTCTTTCTCAGCAATTTGTATTTTGAAAATGGAAGTTAAAAAGTCTGTGGCAGAAATAAACGGGCGGTTGATGCGGACCCAACTGGTCAGCAGGTGAACGTTAGCTTGAGAGGCTGAATAATTTGATCAGCTCAAAGGGAAGCTGCTGCTGATTTGTCATCAGAGCGAGTTTACGGGGAGTGCTGCTGTGTAAATCTGAAAAGGAAAAGTAAAGAAATTAGGGGGATAGAGCAGCTATGTACAAATCAGAGCTAAATAAGGCTCTTTACCTGAATTCAGTGTGCATCCCAGAGGCAAACGAGGAATACAGTTGTTCCCAAAACGCCTCGCTTGCTGAACAGCTGCTTCTCGATCCCCAAACGCCTCCTCCATGTAGGCTACAGGAGAGGCTAACCAGTTGCTGTGCAGAAGAGAGGGGCTTATATTTACGTAACTACTTCAAGATTTCCATGTTAAAGGAATAATTCGGCTTTTTAGGGGGAAATGCTCTTAGTCAGAGATTGGACATAACCTGGATCCTAAACTCGTTTAACATCCTCGTTAGGCTGTTTATGAATTAAATTAGATGCACGGTGTTAATTAGTTCCCTTTAAAGATGCTGGAAGGTTTTTTTTCTGGACTTGACTGCAGATGTGAGAGTGGCGATCATTTCAATTCAGCTTTTGTTTAAACTCTGAATACGCTGAGGTGTGGAGATCGTGTTTAAAATGCAGCCGAGTGAGAAAGTAAAAAGGTGAACGTATTAATCTTCTCATAAGCAAGCAGCCGGCAAGAAAACAAATAACTTGGCCGAGTGTCAAACTGTGAGCAAAGTTTAATGTTGTGCAATTTGCTCTGATAGAATACGACCATGTGCTCTTGATTCATATGAAAAGCTTTTATTGTTATTTTTTATTATTAAAACAAGACCAGAAGAGTTCAGTTTCAGTTTTTCAGCGGGCAAACCTTTGGTCTGTGCAGCCGGATGCCATGTTGTAGCTGCCGGGATGCTTCTCTCTGAAACAATAACGAGAAGAATTTGTGCCGTTGACTCTGAAGTGCAGCGGGTGAACGTCGGATTCAAACCTGAGCGCCGTGGTCGATCTCCCAAACATGCTGGCAGTTCACTCCCCCCGCCTGAGTGTGACCGATTGAGTCGTTCACCGCCGATATTCCCCGACAGGCTGACACGCAGCTCTGATTTATGACTGTAAATGGAAGCAGCGATGGATCAGTTAGTCCACTGAGCTGAGTTGATTATTGCTGACAGCATCTCAGCGTTTTGTGATTAATCTAGTGACCAGATAACGGTCTAAACAATGCCTTCATTTATTATGATGATGATGATGATGGAGCTTCCATTTTGCCTTCAAGGGATCAAGAGGGAAATCTGGGGGGTTAAGCCGAGTGTATTACCACTCGTTTAAAAATATCTGCTTTTATATTTCTGCCTCATCAGCGTTCAAATGAATAATTAACCTCTCCAGACACAATGGCTGTGTGCTGTTAATGATTGCAGTGGAACCAGCATTGTGGGCCTTCTGATGCCCTACATAGAGTAAAATGGCTCACACGCAGTGCTCCACTGTGGCTTATCAGTACAGTTTGTGGTCGTATATGCTCCATTTAAAGGCAGTGGATTGCATTGTATTGTCACCTACATAAGGCGACACCACCTGGTTAACACGCTGCCCAACCCTGAACCCCACAGCTAGTTCACAATGGTGTGTTTTCTATTATATATGTAGGTGTACAAATCCATGTTTAAATGACCACCATCACTCTGGCTTTACTCAGCATGGTTGTTTCTCTGAAAGACTGAATCTGGCCATTTTGAAGGACGTGACAGCTTGTCTGCACGGTCTGATACGGGAGCACAAATATCAGAATTCACGCTGAGTGGACGCTCCACGCCTGAACAATTCTTACTGTTATTTATGGAAATTGGTGGCATTTCCAGCAACACCGTCAACTTGCACTTAAATAAAAAGTGTGTTGATGTGTTTTTTAAGAGGTGCTTCGCTGCATGAGGTCTAAACTAACAAAGAAACACGTCTCATCTAGAATTACCGTTCACAGTTTACATCTTTGTGTCTGAGTTGTGTTAAATAATGGCCGAGAATTAGTTTGTGCAGAACGTTATGATGCTGGATTTTTAAAAAAGACCATTTTTATCCTACATTTGTGTCCAACTTTATCATAATTTGCCTGTGAATTCTTGGATTGTGATCAAAAAAACGAAGAAAAATGAGTTTACAGGGACCTTTAAAGACCAGAAAATGATCGGTTCTTCTTTCAATCCAAGTGAACGCCTGTGCCAAACGATGTCCTCGAGTCATTCTGCACTCACAAGAATGGGATGGATGGACCAGCAAGCCAAGAATAATATATGTAGTTTTGTCTTTGCATTTGCTGCAAACATGAACATCTTGTTGTCGGAATTTGAAGTAACACAAACCCCAACGCAAAAGAGAATCCCTCTGTGTTGATAACAGGGAAAACTGCCAAAGTAGCACATACAAGTACATTTGTTTTATTGAGGTTTAGATTTATAAACAATGGCAATAACCGGAAAAACTGCTGAATATTGGCTCAGACAATGGGATGGTTGTTTACACGTGGTTATCCCGACGTGTGTGTGTGGTTCTTTGTTTTACCTGTTTTGAGTCATTGTGTAACGGTGCGTGTCGTCCCGTGCAGATGACAGCGATGATGACAGGGAAGTGAGTCGAAAGCGTACGGTGCGCCAGGCGGCTTCCAAGGCTGTATCCAAACAGAGAGAGATCCTGCTGGGGGACGGAGGGAGCGAGGACGAGGAGCACGAAGACCAAGAGGAGTCCTACATGGACCGTATGTACAGAACAGTGATAAGAGCCATGATGGTGTTTTTATGAACCAGCACATGGAACGAATGTTTGCTGTTTGATCGAGAAGTACACATTAAAAGATGCTTTAGATTTGTCATTCCCAAACAAATAATTCCCAAAGAGGCTGCTAAAAAATAATATGACATCCAAGGAGGATTTAAGGGATAAGAAAAAATGTTGTCAATAAACAATCAATTCATTGGAAGTACAGTGGACATTTTCAATATTCTAACACAGTTGATGTTCTCCTCTAAATCAGCTCAGTTACATCCGATAAACACCAACTTCCAGAGCAAACGAGCGGCGGTGTTCGACAGTAAATAACTTGTAAAGTATTAATTTCCTCGCAGTGGTTCGATATCAGAATAATCTTCATAACTGATCTGCATAATGGACGAACTTGTTTACTGTAGTTAATGTTAGTCCAGCTGCTGGAAACAGCTGCTCGTCTGGAACAGATGTCCACAAACACTCATCAGTCCAGGTAATCTGTCAGTATTTGCTGCCAACTCTGAAATGGATTCATACTCCGAGCAGGGCGTCGCTTCATCACTGGAGTTTGAACGTCGTTGGAAGCGTGTAATCAGGAGTCTTGCTGCTCCTGAAGATTAGCAGTGCTAGCGGCTACAGCTGCTCTCTGACAGACACTCAGCTCCCTTCCTGTGTTAGCATTTAAAAACCACAGTTTAGCATTAGCCTAGCTAGCTAAACCAGACACCCATCGGCCACCTTTGTGCAACTCGATGCTGCAAAGATCTTGAACACACCTGTCACAGTTAGCAGCTAGACAACATGGAGGTCAGCAGACACACTCCATCACATGAAACAATGAGTTGTGGTTTTTGCATGATCTGACGCAGACTCTGAAAGCAAGCAGACCGCCACACGCTTCTATTCTTACTGCAATAGATATGCATCAGTTGGCTATGCAGATATTTCTGAAAGGCTGTGACTTTGCACTTTTTGCACGACGTAGCAGCTGCATACAGATCGGGCTGTAGCGCCGTGTCAGTGTGATTATTTATGTGGTGTGTTTGGCACATTTGTAGCTTCCTGCTGTGTTTGGACTCCCGTTGATGGAAAGCATGCATAAATCAAAGTCCACCAGTGACTACTTCAATAATACCTCTTTTAATAATGAATTGTAAAGGTGTGGATGACGGAGAATCTCCTCACACTGTCTCTCAACAAGCATTTATTCTGAGCACCATTTGTTTAGCTTGTACGAGCAGCGTCGGCACACTTTCTTGCGTTTTTCGCAGTCACAAATTTTGGGCTGCATGCTGACGTCTGCAGAGGTGTCCATGTGGACTCTCAGTGGTTTGGGTGGATGACAGAATTCATGTCATGTGAGCGCTTGTGGACACAGAAAACCATAATTCGGCCTTGAGAGGGTCCCCCTGGTGGTGCAACCAGGTACTACAGAAAATGCACAGTCCAGTTTTTGACAGATGAACTGCTTCCCTTTGTCTACTTCGTTATTTATCAATCAACAGGGGAAGAGTTCTTGTACCTAAACTGCTAATGAAACTCATAAACACACAGAATGTTGTTCCACTGCTAGTATTCAGAAATGTAGGTGATGTCCTCTCTGCTTTATAATCAATAATAATCTCCTTCCCATGTGAATGCAGATGAAGTCGTTTTTTGACTTCAAACAAATGATTATTTAAGCGTTTCATTTGCTGCTGATCTGATGCTAGAATTGCTCGAACTGTAAACTGGAGCTCACAACTCGACCAACGTCTGCCGTTTGAGGGATTCTTACACTTTCCGTTTCTGCGTGCAGCCGACGAGTCCGGCAGCGACGAGGACTTCATGGTGGAGGATGACGATGACAGCGACTACGGTCACTCCAAGAAGAGAAGCAAGAAGGTGATTCGACGGGGACGGCCGGACAAGAAGGAGAAGAAAAGCCCGAAGCCCAGACTAAAGGCCACAGGTGAGACGTCTGATCACGGTGTGGATGCAGTTTACAGCTGCAACAGGAGTTAAGCTGATCAGCTCTGAGGTTCTGAGTCATGACGGCCTGCAATAGATCACATTGTGAAAAATGAGGTGTGCAAAGTAAAGAGGTTACAGCAGCTTCACTGAAGTCAACATTTCAAAACGTCCACCACTCAAACCTGCAAAAAAATGCATGTCTTATTGTCTTATTTTTAAATTTTTGCTCAAAATAATGCATGAAATCCAAAGTCACTTAGATTTTAAATGTGAGTTTTTTTTGAAGGGAGAGATTGAGTCAACAAATTGCATTTTTTTTTAAAAATAACTATCTGGCAGATTTTTGTGTTGCGTCACCTCTTGGCTTCGGATGTCACTCAGGACTTGCAAAACAATGACTTTCGTCCATCTTTGGCGTTTAAAAGCACAACTTGATGCCATCCAATCTGTTGTTGCAGCCGTCATAGAACTTTCTCTGTCGGTTCATGTTGTTGTGCAGAAGAAATTAAATAAACTTCTTTCAAATTGAGGTGTTTTTAAAATGGCAGCTGTAAAAGGCAGGGGTTAATAATGGAGTGCTTGATCAATCAGTACCGTTCTTCTCTGAAGAACTAAAAGTTCCTAAATTTTCAGAAAGTGCTGCCACCGATCAGGGCCTTCGAGGGATCTCAGTGGTTCTTAGTCTACAGTAGAAACACAGCTTCCCCTCCATTCCTAAACAAATCAGTTACTTCTATCTTAAACAACAGATTGATCATTATATGACAAAGCTTTGAACTGGAGAGGATACCTCCAGTTTAGTTTTTACACATTGACATCATACAGTTTGGATGGATTGGACATAAAAACGACCTTTTTGCATGTTGGTAGTATGAAATCATTATTCTGCTCTTAACCCTCTGAACCTCAAACACCTTCTAGACATTTTTGCTCAGTGTGGGATCTTATTTCACCACAGCGTACAGTCGGACACCTCTATGGAAACGACACAACCACGTCTTCTGTCCAGTATGGGGACGTTACAATCCCATAAAGCAGGGGTGTCCAGTCCTGGTCCTCGAGAGCCACAGTCCTGCATGTTTTAGATGTTTCCTTCTTCCAACACACCTGATTCACATGATCAGGATGGTTATCAGGCTTCTGCAGAGCTTGATGATGAGCTGATCATTTGAATCAGGGAAACATCTAAAACATGCAGGATTGTGGCTCTCAAGGACCAGGACTGGACACCCCTGCCATAAATCGTTTGTACGTTACAAAAGCTGTGAAAACCTGGAATCACCAACATCCATCTTATTGGACGTTTTAGGCATGGAGAAGATTTAAGCAAAGTTGGTGCCAAAACTGTTTTCCGAGGACGAAAAGACTCCCCGTGTGGATGTGTCTGGACATTTTAGATCATCAGAGTTTCTGGACATGGTCTTCACTGGAGATGAGACCTGGCTCTTCCCTTAAGGCCAGGCTGCATTCCCTAAACGTCCAATGAGACGGTCCTAACCAACTCATTATTCAGTCCCAGTTGCTCAGCCACCATTCTGATCATCAGGCTGCGATTACTCCACACCAGTTCCTTAAGCTTCTCTTGCATCAGTTCTTGTTGTTTTGGTTTTGGGTCGTCTTCCACATCGTCCTACCTCACGCTCAACCTTTAGTGCCGCTCATAGACGCATGAATAAAGCAGCGTGTGATCCCTGTACACATCTTTCAGCATGGAGAAGGCTTCTGCTGGAGTTTCTCCCAAGTTAGCCAAGACCTGGATGCTAGGTCTTCCAGGTTCCAGGTTCATGAGGAGGACGCTTGACTGGAGCCAGAAACCAACCTGTGGAAAGAAGGTTAAAGGCTGTTTGAAGAGTTGCATTGTTGAGATTTTGGGAGAACATGATGAATTGTTAATCCGCCGACCAATTCAGTTTAGTTTTATTTATGTAGCACAAATTCACAACATCTGTCATCTCACAGTGTTAAACATAGTACGGTAGAGATCTTATGAATGTTGGACAGAGAACCCAACAACCTGAAGCTGCCTTTGGATTCTCTATGAGCAACAGTGAGGGACAAAAACCTCCAACAGAACCAAGCTCAGGGAAGGCGGCCATCTGCCTTGAACAGTTGGGGTGACATTGGAGACGGGGGGCAGCAGAAGGGGTTGGGGTAGCAAATGGAGAGCAAGCAGTACAAACAGACAATAAACATTTAAACCAACGTCCTGTTTCTTTTTGAAAAAACAGTTGCTCGAGTCATCCTGAAACTATTTGACTCAGTTGTGAGCTGAGAGAGTTTTATACGACTATGAATTTAAGCAGAAGGATTGTGTTTCCATGTGTGCTCACATGACTGACAGGCTTTGGTCTCTCCCTGCAGTGACCCCCAGCCCAATGAAAGGAAAGGGGAAGGGGCGCCCCAGCACCAAGGCCGTGGAGAAGAGCTCACCCAAAGAGGAGGAGGAGGAGGATCCCGAGAGCCCCCTGGAGGAGGAAGAGGAGGAGGCCGAGAAGAAAGAGACCTCCCCCGCCCCCAAGACGACGAAGGAGGCCACAGGAGGAGAGGAGGAGGAGGAGGAGGACGAAGAGGAGGAGGACGGCTCGGAAGAGGAGGCGCCCTCTGGAGAAGACTAGAAGACGAAGCCCGTTTGAAGCCCATCCTCCACGTCTCTCTCTCTCTCCGTCTCTTCTCATTGTTTTGTTTTCTTTTGTTGCTCTGCGTTTAGAGTTGTATTTTTTTTTTCCTCTTTTATGTTGGTTTTTATTTCTTCTGGTGGCCTGGCTCAATGGTTTGAACTCGGTGTGCTTTTTTGTTTTTGTTTTGTTTGTTTTTTTTTCCATTTTCTTTTTGGCTTCCCCGCTGCTCCCTTCAACCAAGACGTTTTGCTCATGTGGCCATACAGCATATGTACGGAAGTTGTATTTTCAGCAGCCTCTCCCTCCTTCCTGTCTTCATCCTTTTCTGTATTTTACAGCTGTGTGAAACTTTCTCTAAGCTAGTGAGCGTCCGTCCTGAGTGTGAACAAACCAGTTCACTAGCGTTTCTGTTTCCCCCTCCTCCCCTGAGATTACCAGTGATCCGACGCTCCTCTTTTTTACTTTTTGCGCTGAGTAAAGCGACGTTGAGTAAACATGGCCGAAGCATTCACTCTTTATTTTGGTACTTTGTGCTTTTAACAGGGCTTTCGGTTATAAAGCGGCGTCTTCTTAATTTAATTTTCCATCATCGTCATCATCATGATGCTTCTTTCACATGAAATCGATTCGCCCCCGAGGCGCGACGTTTTGAAACGCTTGCAGCTGCTGCTTCGTAGTTGAGTTTAAACGTGTAGACCGATGAGTGTTTGCTACATGCCAGCCTGCCGCCATCGCACATTTCAGAGCAGCATGTGTGTGAAACTGTTTCTGTTCTTGTATGTTGGGCTTTCTGATGACGCTACATTAAGCAAACCCCCTTATGAAATAAACACACACACACACACACACCTTCCCGCATGGCTACAGTATCTTCTCCGTCAACCCCTTGTGCCAGGCACCCCTAAAAATCTTTTTATTTCAAGAAATGCAAGAAGAGATGTTTTTTTTGTTTTCTTTTCCTTTTTTGTTTTGTTTTTTGAGAGTTAAAAAAATGAATGTTGTTTTTTCTCCTGTTGGTTCATTGTTCTAATTCTCTATTCAGATTTTTTTTGTAATGTTTGTTTTTTAAAAAAAAGAAATAAAATGTATCTTGATTTTAAAGAAAGAAGTCGACCCTATCCAATCTGTTCTGCCTGATGGTCGGACGAGCCATCCCTCTCCCGTACTTAGCTCCTCCTGTCCTTTCATTCATTCGGCCCCCTTCGCCCCCTCGACTCCCATCAGCTTGACGGTTACTGTTGGTATCCACGTCCGTTTGTTTTCTTCAAGGCTTTCCGTTGCCCAGATTAGTATTTCACAAGCATTTTTAAATTCGTACTGAGGCTCAGAGTAGATTAAAAGCGGGCAGCTTGGTATATATCCGGCATTCATTTGTCTGTTAATGCCTTAATTTTCATTGAGTTGTGTTTCACTAGTGACTCTGATATCATCATTGGAGGCCTGAGAATGTAATCTGTCCTCAAGTTTTAGGTCTTTGCTACAAGCGGCAAATTAGGCTTAAGACAAGTCAACAATTTGTATGATCATCCAAAGCCATAAACGATCTCAAAACTAGTGACTCGGAGATCAGGTGCAGCACTTGTGAGATTATCCTTTTTTTGCGAGAAATAGTGTTTGATGTCAAAGCAAAAAAAAAAGAAAAAAAAACAACAAAAAAAGAAAAAAAAAGTTGCTATTACGATCTTGGGAAACGTGTTTTCATGTCGAGTCGACCCAAGACTGCAATAGAGTCCTGGATGTGTACAGGACACACTCGAACCTCGTCCTCGGTTCAGAAGCACATTCGATTGTTTTCCGACTGTCTTCGTTAGCAGGTTAGTGTGTTTTTCTACGTTCAGGTCCTGAATTGGCCCCCCAATCCGTACTTGTCATTTTAAGACGATTGGATATAAATATAGACGTAAAAGAGAAAAAAAAAAAAAGAAGTTTGTTTATACCAACCTAAAGCTCCGAGAGCTGTTTGCAGTAGGATCAGATGCTATCTTGTAGTTCACAGCACTGAAGGCTTGAATGAGGTTCCTCTCTATCACCCCACTGGAGGCACATGGCATAAGGCTATGAATTTCTCCTCTTTCATCCATTGTACAATTTCTTCTGTTGTACTGTTTCTGATGTTTTTGTTTTTGTTTTTTTTTTTTGTCTTATCTACCTTCACTTGTACTGGCAATGTAAATGTAAGCCAAGTTGTGATTCCTACAGGAGACCAAGTGGAGACGCTTTTGTCAGTAGTGTGGAAAAGGAACGCTGAACTCTTGAATCTTTTTTGCATGTTGTGGAAAAAGTGCGAAGCGATGATGATGATGATGATGATGATGATGATGATGATGCTGGTAATGGCAATATTGTGGTCTTACAAAACAAAAACAAAAAAAAGTATTAACGATGTTGATAATGTTTTGGTTTCCCAGCTTCTAATAAAGGCAACCTACTTTTTATACAGATTTAACTACTTGTTTTGTGACGTTGAGCTCTGTGTGGGTGGTGACTGACGCTCCAGTGGTGCCGGCGGGTCGTGACGGGCAGTACTCGGCTCCACCACTCGGGGGCGCTGTGTGAAACAGCAGCACAGTATTATTTTTTTTAACCTGCAGTCCTCTTGATTTGATAAACAGATGGCAGACATGCTAATTTCAAATCAGTTTATTACCAGTACTGCTGAAAAAACACTCATCAGTAAGAAGAGCATTAGCTATAACATAATACGTATTTCTCTAAATAAGATGCTGCACAGAGAGGAACAACCGGACAGAACAGATTACTTCCTGTCGCTGTGGAGTAAACACACAAAGACAAGTGATATTTAAGGTCACACTAGGACAGACAGCCAGCTGACAACACGGCCATCATGCCTGGAACAACACAGCTCCCAAGAAATTCAGATTTTATTCATCACCATCTGCTGTTTACAACACAGCTTTCTCTCCCTCCAGTCATTCACTCGTTCAGGTATGAAGGCTTGTATTCTTTAGCCCGGCTCACAGGACTGTGAGGTTTATCGTGGCTCTGGAGGACAACGTTTGGCTTCGTAGGTGTGGGTTTTGAGATGTAGAATTTCTATCGCAGCGTCCGACAGTTCAAGAAGTAACTAGAGAACGGCAGAGGGTTCACCTGCACGTGTGCACGCCGAATGAAAAGGAAGTCATTTTGTCGGATAAGTCGAGCAAAATGACAAAAACACAAAGTCCCCCTCTCTGTTTTATTACACTGTGTAGAATGATGTAGTGCAATATGACTCAAAAACAGTTTAATAGAAGGCTATGTGCTCTGCTGTAAAATGAAAACCAGTTAGAACGACTACACTGACAACACACCCCACAGCAGGAACCCGATGCTACAACATGCAGAACTCTTTTCATTACCGAGATTTAAATATTTTCTTTTCTCAGTATTTTGGATGTCTGCCTTTGTTTTTTGATGACAAATCCTCCTCAGCATGGAGGACATCAAATCTGTTGCTGCTACCAAAAATACTAACAGCATCTCTACAGTGAAGCACGGCGGCGGCAACATCACGCCATGAGGGAGCTGATCAGCAGCAGTGACAAGGAGACTGGTCAGAACCACAGACTGTATAAAAGATGGACGTAGCAACCGGCCCTGAAACATGAAGCCAACCTGGAAGTGTCAAAAACCTGCAGCATCACTACGTCCACTAGCTGCTGGCTCCACAAAGCCCTGGCTCCCATAGACTGGAACTGGAAAAGAAGTGATCACA